AGAACACGGAAAGTACCTTCAGCGGGCGACGCTAGACCTGTAAAACAGAGAACACGGAAAGTACCTTCAGCGGGCGACGCTAGACCTGTAAAACAGAGAACACGGAAAGTACCTTCAGCGGGCGACGCTAGACCTGTAAAACAGAGAACACGGAAAGTACCTTCAGCGGGCGACGCTGGACCTGTAAAACAGAGAACACGGAAAGTACCTTCAGCGGGCGACGCTAGACCTGTAAAACATAGAACACGGAAAGTACCTTCAGCGTTTACAGGAGAGGAGAAAAATCGGACAATTAGAGAAGCAATGTGCCATTTAGAAAGTATCATCACCGTGGAGCTCACCAATTGTATTTACTAGAGAAAAGAATGGCAAATTACGACCATGTGTGGACGAGAGAAAAATCACAATACAAAATAAATTCCCTTTACCGAGAATACATGACTGTCTGGACTCTATACAAACCCTTAAATCAGGATATCATCAGTACCAGTTCTGTAAAATCAACCTACTGAGGGACCCCTTCAGATGAAGTAGAGGTCACGCTGTTCAGTGCTTAGAGAGTTTTCAGTTCAGACAGACGTGTTTTCTTATTCATTTTACAAATTACTTTTTCATCGTTTTCATATATTTCGTAGCTTCGTTTATTCTACACAAGATAGACGACTGTTGTTCAAGGACTTATTCCCTACGATTTGGACCGTGCTACCAGCACGTGGTTGCGATACGAGGTTTGTTTACATTCCTTTGTTCGGGTCACTGACTCTGAACTGACCTATCGATTGAACTACTGTACGCTGCTAACGCCAATTCTTGTGACAGCGATGGAGCCCAATTCTGGGACTAAATTGGTGCGCATACCCAATTCTGGGTCTAACTTGTCACCTGGACGGTCCACTGCGACCCAGAACTTTGTGTCAGACGATGTCTGCACGGTTGAGGCAACAGTGCATAATGTGGACGGCGGCCATTTTGTTAGCCCGAGGCCTTCGTCTTCAATGCCTAACATAAATTATGCAAATGAGTTCACGCGGGATCTCGGCGAGACTCACGCTTCTTCCGATTCTGTGACTTCCGCTTCTGTTACAATACAACAACAACTGCTGCAACAGAACCAATCCATGTTACGGTTAATGACTACATTGGCTGAAAACAGTGCAAATTACCGGAGTCATTCCAACCGTGGATGTCCTAGCACAGCCTCGATTAGTGACGACAATTACGCACCGTCTGTGCATTCCTTTGCGGACTTGTTGGACATTGACCTGGTCGTCGATAACGACATATGTGTCGCTCGGGATACACAAAGTATGAGTGCGGAAGATTCTGACGACCCGGTTGAGGAATTCGGCCAGGACATTGAACCTGATGATACCGAAGGTCTCAAAGACCGTGATAATATAATGGGAGACATGGAATTGTTTTATGAACAACGCGAAAAGTGTTCTCCAAATATTGACGAGAAACTGGCGAAAATTGTGAACGNGGCAACAGTGCATAATGTGGACGGCGGCCATTTTGTTAGCCCGAGGCCTTCGTCTTCAATGCCTAACATAAATTATGCAAATGAGTTCACGCGGGATCTCGGCGAGACTCACGCTTCTTCCGATTCTGTGACTTCCGCTTCTGTTACAATACAACAACAACTGCTGCAACAGAACCAATCCATGTTACGGTTAATGACTACATTGGCTGAAAACAGTGCAAATTACCGGAGTCATTCCAACCGTGGATGTCCTAGCACAGCCTCGATTAGTGACGACAATTACGCACCGTCTGTGCATTCCTTTGCGGACTTGTTGGACATTGACCTGGTCGTCGATAACGACATATGTGTCGCTCGGGATACACAAAGTATGAGTGCGGAAGATTCTGACGACCCGGTTGAGGAATTCGGCCAGGACATTGAACCTGATGATACCGAAGGTCTCAAAGACCGTGATAATATAATGGGAGACATGGAATTGTTTTATGAACAACGCGAAAAGTGTTCTCCAAATATTGACGAGAAACTGGCGAAAATTGTGAACGAGGGAATCAGATCACAAATCGGAGAGGATAAAAGGAAAGACCTTCTTAATAAACACTTGAGGCCAGGTAATTGTGATAACCTGGTCGTTCCTCGTGTCAACAAGTGCATATGGACAAGCTTGTCCAGGAAAGCCAGGGACTTTGACATAAAGGCGCAAAATTCACAGAGTCTTCTCTGTAAGGCATTCTACCCCCTACTGCACCTTACAGACAATCTGCTGCAAGGAACTAAAACCGGCCTTGACCACAATGCTCTTAAATCCTGTTTTACTTTAGCAGATGACTCGTTCAAAGTTTTACAGCTGGCATTCACCGATATGTCTCACAGGCGGAGATTTGCATTGCGTCCTGAACTTTCCTCGGAATACAAGGCTTTGTGCTCCTCCGACAACCCTATTACAGACAGCCTGTTTGGGGATGATTTGGACAAACAAATCAAGGATATCACTGACGCTCAACGTGTGAGCAAAAAAGTTACAAAGACACAAAGAGGGAACAGATATTCGCCTTTTCCTAACACAGTCACTAGAGGTGGTGCTTCTTCCAGACGAGGACATCATGGCCATGTCTACCAAGGGTCAAATTACAACCGGTCAGGCTCTAAACCACACTCCAGGGGCAGAGGCCAATGGACACAGTTTTAGGGGTTCTTTTTTAGAGAATAGCTACCCCAAGAACCAAAAGAAATGACTATGAGGACTTCTTGTACTACAATGCCTGTACATGTAAGTAATACTTTTGTAGACAATGATAATTGTGCGCTTGACATCAAGACATTAACTAACACACCTGGAACCTTTCGGGATGGGAATATATCACAGTTCCTCCATCAGTGGAAGGCTATTACATCTGACAGCTGGTTATTGACTCAGATACAAGGTTATCATATTGAGTTTGCCAATATTCCTGTTCAAAGGCCTAGGACGCTCCCACACCAAATCCATTTTTCAGCAGTGGAACAGGCCTTTATTGATGCTGAGATAAGTAAACTTTGGTCCAAACAGATTATAGAAGTAGTTAAAGGGGGTGAGGAGAATGAATACATTTCCACCATATTTCTCAGACCTAAGAAAGATGGAACATACAGATTAGTTCTGAATTTAAAAAAATGAACTATGATGTGGAACATGTGCATTTCAAAATGGAAACGCTTAAAGCGGGCATAAATTTAATGACAAGACATTGTTGGTTTGCCTCCATTGATTTAAAAGATGCCTACTATTCTGTGCCAATTAATAGTAAAGACAGAAAATACCTTCGTTTTTTCCGGGAAGGTGTGTGTTATCAGTTTACCTGCCTTCCAAATGGGTTGTCTTCCGCTCCCCGAGTGTTTACGAAGATCATGAAACCAGTGTTTTCTCATTTACGAAAAATGGGTCATGCTAATGTAGCATATATTGATGACAGTTTACTGCAAGCAGATTCTTATGACCAATGTGTGGCTAACATAGAAGATACTGTCTATACTATGGATTCATTAGGTCTAACTATTCACCCAGTAAAATCCCTGCTGAAGCCCACAAAGGTTATAACGTTCCTCGGCTTCGTGTTGAACTCTGAAACTATGACAGTAAGTTTAACCAGTGAAAAAGCTGACAATGTAGTCCATGTGTGTAAAGAACTTCTCAAAACAAAGACAACGACCATACGACACCTGGCACAAGTTATTGGGAAAATGGTTACCTGTGCTCCTGCAGTACCACATGCCCCCTTATTCCATAAAACATTGGAGCATGAATAAGACCATGCCCTTAAGGAAACTAAAGGTGATTTTAATCAGCTTCTTAGTATTTCATCGGCAGCCAGGGAGCAGGTGTTATGGTGGATTGAAAACATTCACAGGAGTGCTCATCCAGTGTATCGCGGCCCCCCTGACCTCATTCTTGAGACTGACAGTTCAGGCGTAGGGTGGAGAGGACTAGTGAAAGATGACAGTAATGATCAGTTACGGACAGGGGGACATTGGTCTCAAAATGAACAACAACAGCACATAAATTACCTTGAATTATATGCAGCTTTTCTAACCCTGCAGTCTTTCTGTAGTTCAAAACGTAACATTCATGTGCGATTATATATGGACAATACTGTGGCAGTGAATTACCTTAATAATATGGGAGGTAAAAAAACTCACTTGCATGACTTGAGTAGAGAAATGTGGTTATGGTGCAAGGAACGCGACATCTGGTTGTCTGTGTGCTACTTACCAGGGGTTACGAATATAGAGGCTGACAAATTGTCTAGAAAAAATTCTGATGACATTGAGTGGAGCTTAAATGTACATGTTTTATCAAGATGTGTGTGACAAGTTTGGCATACCAGACATAGACCTATTTGCCTCTCGACTCAATGCACAAGTGAATGAATATGTGTCAGATCTGTCTGATCCTACAGCTAAAGCTGTAGATGCTTTTAACTTGACATGATCATATGGAACTTTATACTATGCATTTCCTCCTTTCAGTCTCCTAGGAAGAGTTCTACAGAAAGTGGAGGAGGATGTGACGGAGATGATCCTTATTGCACCCATGTGGACCACACAACCATGGTTTCCAAAAATGTTGAAACTGATTATAGCCCCACCAGTGATCCTGCCCAACAGGTTACAACTGTTACAATTGCGAAACGACCCAGTCAGACAACATCCACTGCGGAAACTGCGTCTGATAGCCTGCAGGTTATCAGGGAATGCCTGCAACGTCAAGGATTTTCGACACAAGTTACAAACATCATTCTCGCATCATGGATGACATCAACACAGAAGCAATATGGGGTGCATATCCGCAGATGGTTGTCGTTTTGCGAGCAAGGGACAGTGGATCCACTTCAACCATCTGTAACAGACTTGTTAGAATTTTTATCTAACATGTTTCATAAAGGGCTAGGCTACAGTAGTGTAAATACGGCTAAGTCATGTATCAAATCGTTCTTTGAATTAACTGGTAATACTTCTTTGATAGAAAATGTACTCATTAAAAGATTTATGAAAGGGATATTTCATGCTCGTCCAGCATTGCCAAGATATTCCACTACTTGGAGTGTTTCATTAGTTTTACAATATATACAAACCCTTTCACCTGTACATACTATTTCCCTTAGATTTTTGTCACTGAAATTAGTTATGCTTCTAGCATTATTGACAGGCCAAAGGTGCCAGACTCTTCATTTGATAGACATTCGCAATATTACTGTGACAGAGTCCCAAGTAACAATCGTTATTGGTGACCTTTTAAAACAGTCCAAACCAGGTCGGCACTTGCCGCCTATAGTGTTGTGCGCATTCCCAACCGACTCATCTTTATGTGTTGTGACAGTGTTGAAAGAGTACCTTGAGCGGACTAAAGTTCTACGCAAGGAAGAACCACAATTGTTCATCAGTACGATTTCACCTTTTAACAAAGTTTCTAAACAAACTATCGCAAATTGGATAAAACTTGTGTTAAAGAAATCTGGCATAGACACATCAGTGTACAAACCACATAGCACACGTAGTGCATCTATGACAGCAGCTAAAGCTGCACATGTGCCCATCTCTACCATCCTACAGACTGCAGGCTGGAGCAAAGAATGTACTTTTCGGAAATTCTACTGCATTCCTTCATCCCACATTCAGTCTACTGTGACAGAGAATGTAGGTACTAGACTTTTGGAGCAATTTGCTGCTTCATCACAAACATTGAACTAACATTGAAACGTTATGTTAACAGACAATTCAGATGTGTTCATGTACATATGTATAATATGTAAAAATGTTGATACCTTATTATAAAAGGTGAAATGTATAAAATTGTTTGTTTTTCGTTTTTCATTTATGTATTAACATGAATGCATCAACTCTAAAATCTCAAGAGGTCCCTCAGTAGGTTGATTTTACAGAATTGGAAAATTAAACTAGTCTTCCACTGGAAGACGAAGTTTGATTAAAATTCTGTAAAATCAACATCTACTGAGGGATCAATTGCCCACCACTTGAACCCTCCCTCTATACATTATATGTACATGTATAGCTATGTATCTTTGGTTTTTGATGCACTCATGTTACTCTGAATACTGAACCACGTGACCTCTACGTCATCTCAATTGATCCCTCAGTAGATGTTGATTTTACAGAATTTTAATCAAACTTCGTCTTCCAGTGGAAGACTAGTTTAATTTTCCAATTAAGAAGGAAGAATATCAAAGACAGCTTTCATTACCAGATATGGTATGTTTGAGTTTAAAACCATACCTTTTGGTCTGTGTAACTCCCCTGCAACATTTCAACGCTTCATAAAAATGGCTTTCAGTGGTCTCCAGTAGCTCACATGCCTGGTATATTTGAATCGCAGTATCATCTTCAGCTCTACATTTGAAAAACATATCCATAGAGTTGATCAAGTAATCATCAGACTACAACAGGTCGGGGTGAAGTTGAAACCAGAGATATAGTCGATGTTTCACCAAGAGTTAGCTTTTTAGAGTCATGTAGTATTAGAGAGTGGCGTAGGACCCAACCCAGACAATTAACAGAAAATACAGAAAAGGTGAAAAAAACGTGAAAAAAGTCCGTCAATTCCTAGGAATGGCAAGTTATACAGATATTTCATCCAAAATTGTTCGGACATTGCTATTACACTTATTCATATAACAAAGAAAGAATAGAGATTTCTATGGACACAAGACTGCACAAACCAGCTGTCAACTAATCAAGGACAAGTTAGTTAGCCCCCAGATGATGACTTAACCAAAGGACGAGGGAAAATATATTTTGGATACAGATGTCAGTGATTTTGGTATTAGATCAGTAGTAAGTAAACAATTTGATGACGAAACTAAGGTTATCGTAAACGGCTGCCGTACCATTCACAAGGCAGAAAGAAACTACTTTGTCACTGACAAAGAACTGTTAGCAGTGGAATATTTCATGGATTATTACAGACAGTATTTACTAGGTCGGAAGCATCCTCGATATCCAGGAATGACACTCACTTTCTCTCTCTGCACCCCTGGAATATGTCATGGCAAAAGTGAAGGCATGCGGCTAGCTGTTCGATTGGTCTCAGGTAACAAAACATATAGGCTGATGCATGTTCTTTGAAGATTACAGAGGACCGACGCCCGACTTCAAAGCCAACAAGTTGTTCCGTTACGCGACTGAAAGATTCTTTTGATGTACATTAAAGGATCAAGCTAGTCTTATTGTCTATGCCACTGAATAAAGTACAGCAATGCTGATGCTATGTCTCGATGTGAATATCCGTAAGATTGTCAAGAAGTAGTGAAATGATTGGTATATGGCTTTCGACAATAACATTGAGACATCATTGGAAAACATCCTGCAATCAAGCATCACTGCCACAGTTTCCGAAAAACTAGCACGTGGTGTACAAATAACTTTTAATTGGGTTTAGGAACGATTTACCCGTATTTTAGTTTTTTTTTATCAGATATATAAGTCACGTGGTAATTTCTTGGAGAATAATTTGTTAACTGCTCGTGCAAAGTTTTCAAAGTTAAATGGCCAATCAAATACCTTCAAAAATATCGTTTCAACTCCAAATTTCACTAATATGTATACTAAAGATCAGTCTTAAAGAAGGAGTTAAATAAATTGAAATATCGACCACTGTCTAAGTTAGTTTTCCAAAAATACATTCTACTCACACATGCCAAGTTTTGACTGCGTTATTTGTGCCTGCTTCGGTGGATTGGAAAAGAAACCCGGTGAGTTAAATGCGAACTCAAACATTTTAAAACAGAAATAGCCGTCAGCTATTTGTCAGACTAGAATATTAGCTCTAATACTTCGCAATATATGCATGGTCGACTTCAGATTGATGAAAACGTTACTACATTTATAACATAGTACGTGTATATACTGGGACAATGAAGAAACGTCGAACTGAACGTGGTATCCGAGGTATTTAATAAACAATTCAAATAGGATTCAGATGTAATTTGACAACTTAAAGAATACATCAGTTCTGAGGTTGTATCTGGAATGGTGCGCTCAACAAATTCACTAAGCTATTCAGGTCGACTCCACTATACGACAGCCGAGCTTCTGTATCGGTCGGCAGTTTCCGTATCTGGCTATCCGCTCGCCATGGTTATCACGTAAACTTCTGAGAAGGTTGTAAGCCTATAAAACAAAACAGTTAGCATTTAGTCTTTGCCTGCTTATAGAGTTAACAGGTAACAGGTCCTTCAATAGTCTATTTTACCTCGATACCTCATATTGACCAATACATTACATAGCCAAAGTTTCCGTCTGGTGAGATTTCAATCTATGCTGTTTTCAGTCGCCATCATTTCTACTATAAAAAGTAAGTTATCTGTGTCTTAGATACTTGGTGAGCTATATCATTTTCCTGGAATGGACGGGTGCCACACATGGTACCGGAAACACCTACCGCCTACCCTCCTTGTGTTACCTCTGGTTCATTCCTAGTGTTTTATGATTCATGATATAGAGTTTGTTAATATTGCAAAGATAAATAATACAAAATACATCAGTGTTACGATACGTACCCTAAGGGATATAGACTTGTGTGTCCTCATGAGAATCCAGCGGACCCGATCACTACATGGCGGTGTTGTCAGAGATCCCACGTACGTATAAAATGACCGATTGATCGGCATCATTATACTGGGGTTCAGAGAGCCTCGCACCCCCTTCACTGTGAAAAGAAATATACCAATGATCAAATGCAAAAATAGGTAACGTTAATTTCATTTCATTTGTTAAAAATTACGTTTACAGGTATGGTACACTTGTCGCTGTTTCGACTTAAACCTGACCAATAGTATAATTGATAATATCATTATCTATTTCGGCAAATTCAGATACCTAACTTAAATGTAGTATATCCTCATGTTCATAATCATACAAAATCTTATCGAATTATACAGTACATACATTTCTATAGACCGTCAATGATATGTCAAACTCAAATAAACCCATTGAATTGATAATTATACAGAACTAAGGGATGTCCCTGCCTGGGGACAGAATTAAGGGATGTCCCTGCTTGGGTGCAGGTCCTATAAACGATGTACCTGCCTGGAGACAGGACTAAGGTTTGACTGTGCCTAGGGACAGGACTAAGGGATGTCCCTGCCTGGGGACAGAGCTAAGAGATGTTCCTGCCCGGGGATAGGACTTAGGGATGTCCTAGCCCGGGGACAGAGCTAATGGATGTCCCTGCCTGGGGACGACAGGACTAAGGGATATCCCTTCCTGGGGACAGGACTTCGGGTGTCACTGCCTGGGGACAGGACTAAGGGATGCCCCAGCCTGGGGACATGACTTAAGGATGGCCCTGTCTGGGGACAGGACAAAGGGATGTCCCTGCCTGGGGACAGGACTTAGGGTGTCCCTGACTTGGGACAGGACTAAGGGATGTCCCTGCCTGGGAACAGGACTTAGGGGTGTCCCAGCGGCTTGTTCACGTTTCCCCCACTTTTTAAAATAACATGGGGGGAAGAATGTTGTTAGAAGGATTATAATCTGTTTCTAAGTAGTATGGGCAGTATTTACCTGTGTTTTTACCTGTGTTTACCTGTGTTTTTACCTGCGGTTAACCCTTATATCTAAGGTGGTGTTTTATCGTATTTAATTTAATAATACATTATAATTTGTAATGACAAATATAAATTTAAATTATCTAAATATTAATCATATATATAAATATATATATTCAGTATTAAATATATCCATTGTGTAGTCCTTGTGCTGGTGATATGATAAGATGAAATGTGTTATTTCATTTTCTAGTACATGTACTTTAAATAATCATTATTATTGTAACATTTAATAAGATGCCTACATTACCTTGTACAAAATGTAAGAATGTAATGTGTGACTAAGAGTGTGGTGTTTAACAGTTAATTAATTAGTTAATTAATCAAAATTCCTAGATGTTATAAGTATCTTATAACTATCATCAATTCAATTCATTTATTGACTTTGAGCTTTACAGCTCATCAGTATGTACACAATACATATAAATACAGTGGCAGACACTGCAATAACGCAGTGGAGAATGGACAAAAAATGCATGTAGTTACATATATTTTAACATTATATCATGCTATTCCTCAACTGGGTGGCATCATATATATATTTACTTAACATAGTTAATTCTTTAACGTTCGTTGTGCTTAATAATTGAATCAGCTTGAAAACAGATGGTTTTTTCCAGTAGTACAATTTTATACGTCTTTCTCTTAAAACTTGATAAAATGGACAAATGAACAAAAAATGGTATTCGTCTTCAATATCTTCAGAGTTACAAATTCTGCATATACGTTCATTTCTTACAATGTTTCGATATCTCCCGGTTTCAATATACAGCGTATGCGCTGATAAACGTAACCTAGTTAGAGCAATTCTATTTCGCTTTGGAATATATTTACATAAATATTGTTGTAATGTTAAATTATCAACTAAATGTCTATACAAAAAACATTTCGAGGAATTCTCTAATAATTCAAACAATTCTTGCCGTGCGTTATCAAAGATTCTCTGTTTAATAATTGGCAGGGCTTCAGACGAGTTCACATTATTTTGATTCAGCCACACTTCGCCAAGACCGAGTGAAAAAAGTTTGTCTTTCACAAAAGTTACCCAATTAAAAACAGTATTTCGCTTTGGCATATACATGAGTTCATCATAGGCAGTTTTAAGAACACAGTTCTTAGTATTTAAAAGCTTGAACCAGTACTTAATTAAATTATAGTGTCTGGTATGTACAATCGGAAATCTACCCAATTCAAAATAGATCATTACATTACATGTTGACTTCTTAACACATAATATCCTTTTGCAAAATTCCAGGTGAACTTTCTCAATATCTATGCCTTTGCACGAGCCCCATACCTCAGATGCGTAACACAGTATACTGGTAACATATGTGTCAAAAAGTTTAATCAAAGTATGGCAGTTTAAATTCATATTTTTACATTTTGTATATAAGGCAAATACTGACTTTCGACCTTGCCCGGATAATTGCTTTTGTACAATATTAAATTTATTGTTCCATTTAAAATCAATACCTAGATAAGTAAACTGTTCAACGACTTCTATTTTTTTTCTATCGAAGAACCATTCCTCGTTATTTCGTAAGCGGCCTCCATTTCTAAAGACAACAATCTTAGTTTTTGCCGTATTAACGGTCAATTTCCATGAGTTCGCATATATAGACAAACTATTTAACATATTCTGTAGCTCATTGGCTGATTCTGCAAGTAGCACCAAATCATCCGCATACATTAATAAAAAGAGACTGAGTTCTCCAAAATCATACGGTTTAACACCGTTAGCAATAAAGTCATTTTCAAAGTCATTTACATACATTGAAAACATAATTGGGGATAAAATTTCCCCTTGGGCGAGACCCATGTTGTTTGCAAAAAAATCGGAACATCTTCCCTTAGATGAGACACATGTCTTAACTTTTTTATACATGGCTTTCAAAATTGATAACAGCCTTCCTCGAACTCCTAATTTTGACAATTTATACCACAATTTACAACGATCGACGGAATCGAACGCTTTCTTATAGTCAACAAAACAACAATATAAACGTTTACTATCATTTAGAGATTTTGTATCATAAACATCATTGAACATCTATAACTATCCAAGCTATCATTTCCATCCAGGTGAGCTAAAAGTGATCACAGCCTATGCTAATTACTGAGATGATGATGCGTGTTACCATTATTTAAGCACTCCTTAATTTGTATCTAAGCTGATGATGAATATGCAAGCCAAATTGGTTATATATAGCAAACAATCATTCTGGGGCAGTCATATCCAACTGTACAGCTCACAAGCAGTATTACAGTGTTAAGAACAACAGAGGTGAGAGGACCTACTGGACCTGTGTTGATGCCACCTGCCCTGCCACACTGACTACACTAAATGATATTCCAGTACGGCTTGGACAACGCCAGCACACCCATCCTTTAGACCATGCCAACGTCATCGCCAGAGAGATTATGAAGAAGAAGGTTCACCATGTACACCCAAACATCTTCGCCATCATCAGAGTGTTCCTGGAGATTCAGGCAGCCAACGGGATCAACAGGATACAACGAGATGCAGGAGGAGTCAACAGACCACGCGAGAAACGATACAGAAACATCAGCAGCCGACTGACCCAACTGAAGGAGCGCCTTGAGAACCAGACGATGGATCTTATGGAGCACGTACGCCAATGCAGCATCACATCTCTTACATTGGGATAGATAACAACAAAAATGTGTGCCTCTTGGCTGTTGAACTTTAAAGATATGATATAAAATTGAGGGGAGCCAATTTGAGATTTCTATTACTAAACTTTACTATTCTTAATATGTGAATATTGTTAATGTATTTGTATTGTGTGATTAGTAAATATAATGTACAGTTTATATTGATGGATTTAACTTCTTAACATGTTTTGAAATATAATGTTAAACTTGTCTTGTATTTGGTGGCCTAAACAGTGTAATATAAATTTATATAATTAATATGCATTGACGATTGTATGTTAAAAATTGTAATATAATTGCAATGTAATCATTATGTATAAGTAGTGAAATACTCGATTGTGAACTCTTATGTAGTGCTGTTATATTCTATATTATCTGTTTAAAAGTGCAATGTAAATATTTGACTGTAAACTCTACATATGTATAAGTATAAAAATATATCGATTATATATAAAGATATTTGAATCCAAAAAAAGTATTAAAACCTTATTTATACCTAACATATACAACAAAGCTACATGTCACACAGGTAACTTTCACACAGGTAACTTTCATACAGGTAAGTTACCTGGGGGGTAAGTATGAAACAGACTATAATTGGTTTGCCATTGTCTTCCTAAATCAACACTTTCCTTTGTTATATAAAAAGTGGGGGAAACGAGAACACCCCGTCCCAGCCTGGGAACATAACTTAGGGATGTCCTTGCCCGGGGACAGGACAAAGGGATGTCGCTGCCCAGGGACAGGACTAAGCGATGTTCCTGGCTGGGGACAGGACTTAAGGATGTCCCTGCCTGGGGACAGGACTAAGGTATGTCCCTTCCTGGGAACATAACTTAGGGATGTCCCTGCCTGGGGACAGGACTAAGGGATGTCCCTGTCTGGGGACAGGACTTAAGGATGTCCCTGCCTGGGGATAGGACTAAGGGATGTCCCTGCCTGGGGACAGGACTTAAGGATGTCCCTGCCTGGGGACAGGACTAATGGATGTCCCTGCCTGGGGACAGGACTAAGGGATGTCCCTGTCTGGGGACAGGACTTAAGGATGTCCCTGCCTGGGGATAGGACTAAGGTATGTCCCTTCCTGGGAACATAACTTAGGGATGTCCCTGCCCGGGGACAGGACCTAGGAATGTCCCTGTCTGGGGACGGGACTTGATGATGTCCCTGCCTGGGGACAGGACTAAGGGATGTCCCTTCCAGGACACATAACTTTGGGATGTCCCTGCTCTTGGACAGGACTTAGGGATGTCCTTGCCCGGGGACAGGACAAAGGGATGTCCCTGCCTGGGTACAGGACTAAGGGATGTCCCTGCCTGGGTACATGACTAAAGGATGTCCCTGCCTGGGTACATGCCTAAGGGATGTCCCAGCCAGGGGACTTAAGTCATTTCCTTCCCCTCATATCCAATACGTTCATTATTTAAGCCAAACAAAATATGAGGTATTGCAAAGCAATATAAAAGAAAGTTAAAATGTACATGTATGAAAAGTATAAAGATCCGAAACTTTATAAGGGGTGTTGCTGTCGCTTTAGTGTCCCCAACTAGAGGGCACTAAATCCAGTTTCCGATTTTGCAGGGTATGTCTCACATTGTTGCACTTACAACATTAAATGGTAGATGCCAGGTATATGGGCATGTATATTTTTATCTCAATCTCTTGCGGGGGTATGACATGTGTCCTGAACGGGCAACTGCTTCAGATTTAATTAATTAGATTGAATCCTTAAATCCATAGCAACGTTCGGAGTTTTTACATTACTGCTATCATGCTCTTCGACAACTTTCATCGTATTACTTTTTTTGCCGTGCAAAATCAGGAACAAATAAACAAACCAAATGTCGAATAATCAAATGACGAGGATGTCTACCGAGATTAGGTGGCTAACCCATGTTTGACATATATATGAAACGTCATCAGATGAAGTATTCTGATAGCGGGCAGATAATAACCAATGAGTCGGATGGCGCTAGGAAATAAAAAACAAGAAACCCAATAGGCCTGAATCGCTCACCTCGTATTAATTCACACGAGTAACCTTAAACGTGATCTAAATTAAAGATACAAGCAAAAGATCAGTATCTATAAATAATTCCAAACAACCTGTTTAAAGATTTTTGAAAAATTGACCCCTGCGACCTTGAAAGTCGAAAAAGGTCATTATGTTGAATAAACTTATAGCCCTGCAACTTGTAAAATATCACCACGCTAGACCTTTAGTTTATTGAGATTATGTCATTTAAAGGTTTATACATATTTAACCAAATGTGACCTTGAAAGTGGGTCAAGGTCATACTAATGAAAATTCTAAATAGCCCTTCATCCTAGCATTCTACTGGCCAAATATCAAAATTAAGGGCTTCATGTTTATTCAGAATAAGCCGTTTAAAGATTTTAAACAAATTTGACCCCTGTGACTTCGAATATAAGTCAAGGTTATTTATTTGAACAAACTTGGTAGCCCTTTTACCTAGCATATTATTGGCCAGATTCCATCATCCTGGACCTCATGGTTATTCAGAAGAAGTCGTTAAAACAATTTTAAAATATTTGACCCCTGTGACCGTGATTATAGGTGAATGTCATTTATTTGAACTAACTTGGTAGCACATCATCACAGAATGTTACAGGCCAAATATCATCATCATGCGCCTTTTGGTTATTCAGAAGAAGTCGATTAAAGGTTTCAAACATGTTTGACACCTTTGACCTTGAATACAAGTCAAGGTCATTCACTTGAACAACCTCGGTAGCCCTTTATCCCAGCATGTTACTGGCCAAATATCATCATTCTGCGCCTTTTGGTTATTCAAAAGAAGTCCTTTAAAGATTTAAAATATATTTGACCCCTGTAACCTTCAAAATGGGCAAAGGTCATTCATTTGGAAAAAAACATTGTAGTCCTTCATCCTACTATGCTACTGGCCAAATACTATCAACCAAGGCATCTTGGTTATTCATAAGAAGTCGTTTAAATTCGCACCACGGCGTAAGCTAATTTGGCCCTTCAGGCTAGGTTAAAAACTGAAACTGAGGTGTAAACACTTTGGAATAGGAAAACACGGATCTCTATCGCTGCAACGGCACTTTTGTTTTATTTGTACCCAAGAGAATACAAAAGAAAGCTTCCATGCTGCAGGGGTCCTCACATTTCTCAGGGAAATACAAAGCGATAGAGACACGAATGTATAAGATAATTGAACTTGAGCTTGAAGTATGCTGGCATTATCTTCCTGTCCAATGCAAAGTATTACCTGATGTTTTAATCATACACTATATATATATATATATATATATATATTATAGATGACGTACATCAAAACATATCAGACAAGTACGTGGTGTTATGTAAGTAACATGTTGTTTACGTACTGTCGGGCACTCTGACGTCTGCCATGTGTTGCTGGATAAATCTGTCTAGCTCCCCTGGGGGTCCCATGCCCACCTTTAAACATAGACGTTAGGTATTGATAAGTCCTCTTTAAAAATAAAAAAAACACCTGATTAGGTATCTGAGATGGGTTTTTTTCACACCTGAATAAAATTATGTGTATCATTTCTAGACCAAATATCAGGATACCGGTACGATACCTGTGATCACGAGAATTATTCCGTCAAGTTGAACTTGACCGGCGTTCAATACCGGTATAACACCGTACCAGTGACCACATGAATGATTCCGTCAAGTAGAACTTGACCTGCGTCCAAAGTTACTCTCGGTGTGTTTTGCTTCAAATACGATACCAGATTTGGTTGGGTTTTTTCGAATAGGATTTAACAAAAGCAAATACACGTAACGTATCTGTGTATGACCAATAAGACAATTCATACCTGCATAAATACCCCCACGACTACCACTCCATCAGGCTGACTAGTTGCGTTGTTGAAATTTCCATATTTCCTGTTGTAATGGGCAAAATGAATCTGAAAATTAATGAGTTAAAGAAACGATATCAGAATCAGGCAAAACGCACCTGTCTCGATATTTATGGTGGTAAAATGCTACAACATAGACAAGTGCACAACAAAAATGTTTGAGGTGTTTTCGAAGTGAAGCTGATTATCCTGAACTGAATACATATCCCGTCACGACATACATCGCGAGGATATAGAACACCAGCCACGATATTTCAATTGGTTATTTATTTAAAACCCTTTAAAAGAAATAGTTCTATCCTTAAGTAGATGGTGTGAGTAGTACCTCGGAGATAACGGTATTTCAAATGTTTTCTTTTGTGATATTACCAATGAACCATCCAGACTATATAAGAAACAAAGTTCCTGCTAATCTTACAGTATTTGATAGTTCATATGATTTTTAACATTATAACAAGTGTTTCTATGAAGAAAAATGCAGTATGTTTGTTTTACTGTGTGTGTGTGTGTTTTGACCACATTCGACCAATTCGAAGCGATGTATTCTTTGAATTAAGCTAAGCGACACGTACATTATCTTAGCGAATTAGAAATGATTTGAAATTGAATTTAAGTAATAAGAGCGTAGCTAAGCTCTTTAATGTTAACACACGCGTGCGTAAACAGAGTTGCTTCCCCTTGCTACACGTTGCCTTTAGTATTTTTCGTCCGGAAGTAGACGTCCAGTGTGGAAACAGGAAGTGTATCCTTGAAGCAAAGACAATTGTGTTTCAATCCATACATGAATATCTTCATATAATGAAAACAATCTTCATGTTTTATTACTTATTTATTTAGATAAAAAATAATATACATTCTGAGTGAAAAAGTCTATCACATAAAATGTGATGCTAACAGGCATGAAACTTCGTTCAGGGATTATCATACTTTGACATCACAAGCACGTTACAATCCATCGGCCTTCATCGGTTAATTCCGGAAGGATGCAAAATAACCGGAAAATTCTGAAACTGAAGTCTGTTGCATTTATCTCTTTGTCGGTGCCCCAAGACTTTTTTTTCTTATTTCAGTTTTTTTTCCACAGGCACAAATATAAATGCGGATATTTTCTGAAGATCGTTTTTGTCATCAAGCCGGTTCTGTTGATATTTCTACCGGTAGATATCTTCAGCTTTTGATTTCCATTTGTTGACAATATGAACGAAATAATTAACATTTTTGAAAGTCTGGAAAATCTTTACATTATTTATGCATCACCATTCATAAAAGAAGCAATGGAAAATCCATTTATGACGAAATTAAAAATAATTTTCCAGACAACCAACCCAAGTGCAACGCCCTTTTTCAGCATCGTATTACATTTTCATAATGCGTGCCGAGTTATAACTAGTTACAGACAGAAACTGTAATTTTATTTGGCATCATTACCTGTCAAACCTCGGTTACAAAATTTGAAATTCAATCCGGTGTGTCAGGATGGAACAGTAATTGAGACTGCATATTGATATAAAGATAATTTAAGTTGCATCTAAGTATTACATTTTTTTTTTTTTTTTTTTAATTTAATTTTTTAAAACTAACATCTCTATACATTTACTTAGACTCATCATCAAATATGTAATATTCACTTTTTTTCTATAGCAATTACCAAACAGTATTCCCCCAGCTTGTCTCAATCATTCTTGTTGTGCCCTGACGGAAGCACGCATTTAATTCTTAATATGGGAGGAAGCAGGAGTATCCGGAGAAAATCCGCGTGGTCGGGCAGGTGAACGGGATAGAATCCGGCCATCTTGGTGAAGACGAGCGCACTATCTACTGCGCCACCCAACCCATCATATACGTTACGCACAAGAACAAATATCTTCTTTAACTTTGACTGGGAGAAAAAGGCGTCATTGATGCAAAAGGTCGTAACTATACTTTTTTCAAAATTCAGACGGTAAAATTTTGATTTATTACGTTTTTTGCATTGTAAATAGATTTGATCAGAAAATAAATTTAGTTTTTCATTTTGCCGTCAATGCCATGATCAGAACCTGTTTTAACAAGCCTTACCTCTACCTGAAATGTGATGCCGTCAATGCTATGATCGGAACCGGTTTAACAAGTCTTACCTCTACCGGAAATTTGATGCCGTCAATGCTATGATCGGAAACTGTTTTAACAAGCCTTACCTCTACAGGAAGTTGATGCCGTCAATGCCATGATCGGAACCTGTTTTAACAAGTCTTACCTCTACCGTAAGTTGGTGCCGTCAATAGCTCCGAACCTGTTTCAACGTGTCTTACCTCTACCGGAAATTTAATGTCGTCAATGGCTTGCTCGGAATCTGTTTTAACAAGTTTTACCTTTACAGGAAATTAGATGCCGTCAATCTCAACGTGTCTTACCTCTACCGGAAATTTGATACCGTCAATGGCATGCTCGGAACCTGTTTCAAACCGATCACCGAAGTGGAAATGAAGCTGGTCCAACACGAATACTTCATTTGAAAGACCGGGGGCTCCGAACAGGAGGCGACTCTTTCGGTCAAAGTAAAAGGTCGGGGCATGACCTGCAATCAAGTCAAGCCGAGCTATGTTAATCGCTCCTGGTGCTCTCTTTGAATTCTGCATTAAGGATTAAATCATGCACTTCAACAAGGGGACTATTCTATTTGTCAAAGCAGATGGTTGAAGCGCTTCGAGTGTAAGGTAAAGATGTTCTAATTCTGTATGGTTAACTCGTCAATGTTTTTAGAAGGATAAACTGTACACTAAGTGTATTCTTTCTTTTTTCACAAAGGTTGAAGGTTGGAAGAACAAAAGAAAATGGAACTTTGATCACAAACATTGGGACAACTTTTAAAATATAGAGTTTGAACGCCGAGAATGGAGACGATTCCTATGTAACTGGTTACTGTATCGTATTGGCGTACCGTTGTTGACAAAGTCCGTGTATTACAAGACTCTTATTTTAGGTATCTTTGAACTCCAAGGGATCCACACTTATTTAAATATCTTCTTTACACCCTTCAATTTTCTGAAGACAAAAGCAAAGGCGTGGAGCTGGCTATTTGGTTGGTTCTGGGACATCAAAGTCACGCAAAACACAAGACCAACAGACAATACATGTATAATATAGCTGTACTCTGTCGATTACAAAACGCTAATTTAATAAGGTTTTGATCTTTAATAGAAAGATTAGTAAAAGTTACCAGACTAGTCAGATAGTATCGATAGCCAGAAATGTATATCGAAAATATACCGCTAGGATGACTACGATGGTGGTAGGAAGGTCGGGTGACTATGTAGTTGATGTCAGAATCTACACTGATGGTGGTAGGAAGTTCGAGTGACTAGGTAACTGATGCCAGAATCAACCCTGGTGGTGGTAGGCAGTTCGAGTGACTAGGTAACTGATGTCAGAATCTACACTGATGATGGAAGGGAGGTTGGGTGACTAGGCAACTGATGTCAGAATCTACCTTGATGGTGGTAGGAAGGTCGGGTGACTAGGTAACTGATGTCAGAATCTACCCTGATGGTGGAAGGGAGGTCGGGTGACTAGGTAACTGATGTCAGAATCTACCCTGATGGTGGTAGGAAGCTCGGCTGTCTAGGTAACTGATGTCAGAATCTACCCTTATGGTGGTAGGAAGGTCGGCTGTCTAGGTAACTGATGTCAGAATCTACCCTTATCAACAGAGAATAGGGTGGTAAGAAGGTCTTGTGATTGGGTTACTGGTATCAGAATCTTCTCTGATCAGCAAAGAATAGGGTGGTAGGAAGGTCTCGTGATTGGGTTACTGATGTCAGAATCTACCCTGATCAACATAGACTATAGTGGTAGAAAGGTCGGATGACTAGATAACCGATGTCAAAATCTACTCTTGATCAACAGAGACAAGGGTAGTAGGAAGGTCGGGTGACTATGTAATCATGTCAAAATCTAACCTGATCAACAGAGAATAGGGTGGTAGGAAGGTCTCGTGATTGGGTTACTGATGTCAGATTCTGCCCTGATCAAAAGAGACTAGGATGGTAGGAAGGTCACATGACTAGGTAATCGATGTCAGAATCTACTCTTGATCAACAGAGAAAAGGGTGGTAGGAAGGTCTCGTGATTGGGTTACTGATGTCAGATTCTACCCTGATCAAAAGAGACTAGGATGGTAGGAAGGTCACATGACTAGGTAATCGATGTCAGAATCTACTCTAATCAACAGCGACAAGGGTGGTAGAAAGGTCGGGTGACTAGGTAACTGATGCAAGAATCTACCCTGATCAAGAGAGACTAGGTGGTATGACGGTCTGGTAATTAGGTAACCGATGTCAGAATCTACTCTTGATCAACAGAGAAAAGGGTGGTAGGAAGGTCGGGTGACTAGGAAACCGATGTCAGAATCTACCCTGATCAACAGAGACAAGAGTGGTAGAGGTGTCGGATGACTAGGAAACCGATGTCAGAATCTACACTGATAGTGGAAGGGAGGTCGGGTGACTCGGTAACCGATGTCAGAATCTACACTGATGGTAGAAGGGAAGTCGGGTGACTCGGTAACCGATGTCAGAATCTACACTGATGGTAGAAAGGAAGTCGGGTGACTAGATAACTGATGTCAGAATCTACCCTTACCAACAAAGGCAAGAGTTGTTGAGATGTCGGGTGACTAGGGAACCGATGTCAGAATCTACACTGATGATGGAAGGGAGGTCGGGTGACCAGGTAACAGATGTCAAAATTACCCTGATGGTGGTAGGAAGGCTGGGTGACTAGGAAACCGATGTCAAAATCTACCCTGATGGTGGTTGGAAGGTCGGGTGATTATGTGACTGATAGCAGAATCTTCCCTGATGGTGGTATGACGGTCGAGTGACTAGGTAACTGATGTCAGAATCTACCCTGATCAACAGAAACAAAGGTGGTACGAAGATCGGGTGACTAAGTAACTGATGTCAGAATCTACCCTGATGGTGGTAGGAAGGTCGGGTGACTAGGTAACTGATGTCAGAATCTACCCTGATGGTGGTAGGAAGATCCGGTGAATAGGTAACTGATATCAGAGTCTTCTTTTATCAACAGACACTAGGGTGGTAGAAAGGTCGGGTGGATAGGTAACTGATGTCAGAATCTACTCTAGAATAACAGAGACAAGGGTGGTAGGTAGGTTGGATGACTGGTAACTGATGTCAGAATCTACCCTGATGGTGGTAGGAAGGTGGTAGGAAGGTCGGATGACAAGGTAACTGATGTCAGAATCTACCCTGATGGTGGTAGGAAGGTCTGGTGACTATGTAACTGATGTCAGAATCTACCCTGATGGTGGTTGGAAGGTCGGGTGATTATGTGACTGATGTCAGAATCTACCCTGATGGTAGTATGACGGTCGGGTGACTACGTAACTGATGTCAGAATATACCCTGATGGTGGTAGGAAGGTCGGGTGACTAGGTAACTGATGTCAGAATCTACTTTTTCAACAGAAACAAGGGGGGTAGTTAGGTTGGGGGACTATGTAACTGATGTCGGAATCCACCCTTGTGGTGGTAGGAAGGTCGGGTGACTAGGTAACTGATGTCAGAATCTACTTTTTCAACAGAAGCAAGGGGGGTAGTTAGGTTGGGGGTCTAGGTAACTGATGTCGGAATCCACCCTTGTGGTGGTAGGAAGGTCGGGTGCCTATGTAACTGATGCCAGATTCTACTCTTATCAACAGAGACGTGGTAGGAAGGTCGGGTGACTATATAACTGATGTCAGAATCTACCCTCCTGGTGGTAGGAAGGTCGGGTGACTATGAAACTGATGCCAGATTCTACTCTTATCAACAGAGACTAGGGTGGTAGGAAGGTCTGGCGACTAGGAAACTGATGTCAGAATCTACCCTGATGGTGGTAGGAAGGTCGGGTGAATAGGTAACTGATGTCAGAGTCTACTTTTTCAACAGAAACAAGGGGGGTAGTTAGGTTGGGGGACTAGGTAACTGATGTCGGAATCCACCCTTGTGGTGGTAGGAAGGTCGGGTGACTATGTAACTGATGTCAGAATCTACTTTTATCAACAGAGACTAGGGTGGTAGAAAGATCGGATGAATAGGTAACTGATGTCAGAATCTATTCTGATCAAGAGAGATAAGGATGGTAGGAAGGTCGGATGACAAGGTAACTGATGTCAGAATCTACCCTGATGGTGGTAGGTGATGTCAGAGTCTACTTTTTCAACAGAAACAAGGGGGGTAGTTAGGTTGGGGGACTAGGTAACTGATGTCGGAATACACCCTTGTGGTGGTAGGAAGGTCGGGTGACTATGTAACTGATGTCAGAATCTACCCTGATGGTGGTAGGAAGGTCGGGTGAATAGGTAACTGATGTCAGAGTCTACTTTTATCAACAGAGACTAGGGTGGTAGAAAGATCGGATGAATAGGTAACTGATGTCAGAATCTATTCTGATCAAGAGAGACAAGGATGGTAGGAAGGTCGGATGACAAGGTAACTGATGTCAGAATCTACCCTGATGGTGGTAGGAAGGTCGGGTGACTATATAACTGATGTCAGAATCTACCCTGATGGTGGTATGACGGTCGGGTGACTAGGTAACTGATATCAGAATCCACCCTGGTGGTCGTAGGAAGGTCGGGTGATTATGTAACTGATGTCAGAATCTTCTCTATCAACAGAAACAAGGGTGGTAGGTAGGTCGGATGACTAGGTAACTGATGTCAGAATCTACCATGATGGTGGTAGGAAGGTGGTAGGAAGGTCGGATGACAGGTAACTGATGTCAGAATCTACTCTGATGGTGGTAGGAAGGTCGGGTGACTACGTAACCGATGTTAGAATCTACCCTGATGGTGGTATGACGGTCGGGTGACTACGTAACTGATATCAGAATCCACCCTGGTGGTGGTAGGTAGGTCGGATGACTAGGTAACTGATGTCAGAATCTACTCCGATGGTGGTTGGAAGGTCGGGTGACTATGTAACTGATGTCAGAATCTACCCTGATGGGGGTAGGAAGGTCGGGTGACTACGTAACCGATGTCAGAATCTCCCCTGATGGTGGTAGGAAGGTCGGGTGACTATGTAACTGATGTCAGAATCTACCCTGATGGTGGTAGGAAGGTGGTAGGAAGGTCGGCTGACTAGGTAACTGATGTCAGAATCTACCCTGATGGTGGTAGGAAGGTCGGGTGACTACGTAACCGATGTTAGAATCTACCCTGTTTAACAGACACTAGGGTGGTAGGAAGGTTGGGCGACTAGGTAACTGATGTAAGAATCTACTCCGATGGTGGTAGGAAGGTCGGGTGACTATGTAACTGATGTCAGAAGCTGCCCTGATGGTGGTAGGAAGGCGGTAGGAAGGTCGGATGACAACGTAACTGATGTCCGAATCTGCTCTGATGGTGGTAGGAAGGTGGTAGGAAGGTCGGGTGACTACGTAACTGATGTCAGAATCTTCCCTGATGGTGGTAGGAAGGCGGTAGGAAGGTCGGATGACAACGTAACTGATGTCCGAATCTGCTCTGATGGTGGTAGGAAGGTGGTAGGAAGGTCGGATGACAAGGTACCTGATGTCCGAATCTACCCTGATCGTGGTAGGAAGGTCGGGCGACTATGTAACTGATATCAGGATCTACCCTGATGGTGGTAGGAAGGTCGGGTGACTATGTAACTGATATCAGAATCTACCCTGATGGTGGTAGAGAGGTCGGGTAACTAGGTTACTGATGTCAGACTCTACTCTGATTAATAGAGACTAGGGTTTAAGGAAGGTCGGGTGACTAGGCAACTGATGTCAGAATCTACTCCGATCAATAGAGACTAGGGTGGTAAAGAGAAATATGCTCATACCGTTGTTGACAAGATCTCCGGTCATTTTTCTGAACTCATCATTAAACTTTATTTGGAAACGCTTGTCTCCCTGTATCGCGCTGTTGTTGATGTTTACAGGGGACTGTGTATCGCTGCCACAAGATGGCCAAAAGTTTGGCCATTTGTTTGGACCTAAAAAAAGCAGAGAAATAATTTACGTATTACAACGTATCAATAAACACAATACACATGTACAAACACAATACACATATACAAACACAATAAACATGTACATACACAATAAACCTGTACATACACAATAAACATGTACATACACAATACACATGTAAACTTACAATAAACCTGTACATACACAATAAACCTGTACATACACAATAATCATGTACATACACAATACACATGTACATACACAATAAACGTGTAAACTAACAATAAACCTGTACATACACCATAAACCTGTACACACACAATAAACATGTACCTCCACCATAAACCTGTACACACACAATAAACGTGTACATACAAATACAATAAACATGTACATACACAATAAACGTGTAAACTAATAATATACCTGTACATACACAATAAACATTTACATACACAATAAACATGTACAAACACAATACACATGTAAACTTACAATAAACCTGAACATACACAATAAACATGTCCATACACAATAAACCTGCACATACACAATAAACCTGCACATACACAATACACGTGTAAACTTACAATAAAACTGTATATACGCAATAAACTTGTAAAAACACAATACACATGAAAACTTACAATAAACATGTACAAATACAATAAACATGTACAAACACACATGTAAACTTACAATAATCCTGTACATACACAAGAAACATGTTAAAACACAATAAACATGTACATACACAATAAACATGTACATACACAATAAACCTGTTCATACACAATACACATGTACATACACAATACACATGTAAACTTACAATAAACCTGTATATACGCAATAAACATGTAAAAACACAATAAACATGTACATACACAATATACCTGTAAATACACAATAAACATGTACATACACAATATACCTGTACATACACAATAAACATGTACATACACAATATACCTGTACATACACAATAAACATTTACATACACAATAAACATGTACATACACAATACACATGTAAACTTACAATAAACCTGTACATACACAATAAACATGAACATACACAATAAACCTGTACATACACAATAAACATGTACATACACAATCCACATGTACAAACACAATAAACATGTACATACACAATAAACATGTGAACTAATGATATACCTGTACATACACAATACACATGTAAACTAAAAATAAACGTGTAAACTAACAATAAACGTGTAAACTAACAATAAACGTGTACATACACAATAAACATGTAAACTAATAATAAACGTGTAAACTAACAATAAACCTGTACAAACACAATAAACATGTAAACTAACAATAAACATATACATACACAATATACCTGTACATACACAATAAACATATACATACACAATAAACATGTACATACACAATAAACATGTTCATACACAATAAACATGTAAACTAACAATAAACGTGTAAACTAACAATAAACGTGTACAATAAACATGTACATGTAAAAACACAATAAACATGTAAACAAACAATAAACCTGTACAAACACAAGAAACATGCAAACTAACAATAAACGTGTAAACTAACAATAAACATGTACAAACACAATAAACATGTAAACTAACAATAAACATGTACATACACAATATACCTGTACATACACAATAAACATATACATACACAATAAACATGTACATACACAATAAACATGTAAACTAACATTAAACCTGTAGAAACACAATAAACATGTAAACTAACAATAAACGTTTAAACTAACAATAAACCTGTACAAACACAATAAACATGTAAACTAACAATAAACATGTACATACACAATATACCTGTACATACACAATAAACATATACATACACAATAAACATGTAAACTAACAATAAACGTGTACTTACACAATAAACATGTACATACACAATAAACATGTTCATACACAATAAACCTGTACAAACACAATAAACATGTAAACTAACAATAAACGTGTAAACTAACAATAAACGTGTACATACACAATAAACATGTACATACACAATAAACATGTTCATACACAATAAACATGTAAACTAACAATAAACGTGTAAACTAAATATAAACGTGTACATACACAATAAACATGTAAACTAACAATAAACCTGTAAACTAACAATAAACCTGTACAAACGCAATAAACATGTAAACTAACAATAAACGTGTACATACACAATACACATGTAAAAACACAATACACATGTACAAACACAATAAGCATGTAGACTTACAATAAATATGTAAACTAACAATACACATGTACAAACACAATAAACGTGTAAACTAACAATACACATGTACAAACACAATAAACATGTAAACTAACACTAAACGTGTAAACTAACAATAAACCTGTACAAACACAATTAACATGTAAACTAACAATAAACGTGTAAACTAACAATAAACCTGTACAAACACAATAAACATGTAAACTAACAATAAACTTGTACATACACAATACACATGTAAAAACACAATACACATGTACAAACACAATAAGTATGTCATATGTGGGTGTATAAAGACAAGATGGTATGTCATATGTGGGTGTATACGGACTAGATAATATATAATATGTGGGTGTATCAGGACTTGATCATAAATTATATAATAGGTGGGTGTATAAGAATAAGATAATATATAATACCTGAATATATAAGCACTAGATGGTGTATATTATATGTGGGTGTAGAAGGACTAGATGGTATGTCATATATGGGTGTATAAGGACTAGATTTTAAGTAATATGTGGGTGTATAAGGACTAGATGGTATGTCTTATGAGGGTGTATAAGAACTAGATGGTATGTCTTATGTGGGTGTATAAGGACTAGATGGTATGTCATATATGGGTGTATAAAGGACTAGATTGTATTTTTTATGTGGGTGTATAAGGACTAGATTGTATGTCTTATGAGGGTTTATAAGGAGTAGATGGTATGTCATATGTGGGTGTATAAGGACCAGATAATATATAATACGTGGATGTATAAGCACTATATGGTGTATATTATATGTGGGTGTATAAGGACTAAATGGTATGTGATATGTGGGTGTATAAGGACTAGATGGTATGTCATATGTGGGTGTATAAAGACTAGATTTTAAGTAATATGTGGGTGTATAAGGACTATATGGTATGTCTTATGAGGGTGTATAAGAACTAGATGGTATGTCTTATGTGGGTGTATAAGGACTAGATGGTTTGTCATATATGGGTGTATATAGGACTAGATTGTATTTTTTATGTGGGTGTATAAGGACTAGATTGTATGTCTTATGAGGGTTTATAAGGAGTAGATGGTATGTCATATGTGGGTGTATAAGGACTAGATGGTATATAATACGTGGATGTATAAGCACTATATGGTGTATATTATATGTGGGTGTATAAGGACTAAATGGTATGTGATATGTGGGTGTATAAGGACTAGATGGTATGTCATATGTGGGTGTATAAGGACTAGATGGTATGTCATATGTGGGTGTATAAGGACTAGATGGTATGTCATATGTGGGTGTATAAGGACTAGATGGTATGTCATATGTGGGTGTATAAGGACTAGAGTGTATGTCATATATGGGTGTATAAGGACTAGATGGTATGTCATATGTGGGTGTATAAGGACTAGATTGTATGTCATATGTGGGTGTATAAGGACTAGATGGTATGTCATATGTGGGTGTATAAGGACTAGATGGTATGTCATATGTGGGTGTATAAGGACTAGATGGTATGTCATATGTGGGTGTATAAGGACTAGATGGTATGTCATATGTGGGTGTATAAGGACTAGAGTGTATGTCATATATGGGTGTATAAGGACTAGATGGTATGTCATATGTGGGTGTATAAGGACTAGATGGTATGTCATATGTGGGTGTATAAGGACTAGAGTGTATGTCATATATGGGTGTATAAGGACTAGATGGTATGTCATATGTGGGTGTATAAGGACTAGATGGTATGTCATATGTGGGTGTATAAGGACTAGATTGTATGTCATATGTGGGTGTATAAGGACTAGATGGTATGTCATATGTGGGTGTATAAGGACTAGAGTGTGTGTCATATATGGGTGTATAAGGAGTAGATGGTATGTCATATGTGGGTGCATAAGGACTAGATTGTATGTCATATGTGGGTGTATAAGGACTAGATTGTATGTCTTATGTGGGTGTATAAAGACAAGATGGTATGCCATATGTGGGTATATAAGGACTAGAGTGTATGTCATATATGGGTGTATAATGACTAGATTGTATGTCATATGTGGGTGTATAAAGACTAGATTGTATGTCATATGTGGGTGTATAAGGACTAGAGTGTATGACATATGTTGGTGTATAAGGACTAGATGGTATGTCTTATGTGGGTGTATAAGGACTAGATGGTATGTCATATGTGGGTGTATAAGGACTAGAGTGTATGTCATATATGGGTGTATAAGGACTAGATGGTATGTCATATGTGGGTGTATAAGGAGTAGATGGTATGTCATATGTGGGTATATAAGGACTAGATTGTATGTCATATATGGGTGTATAAGGACTAGATTGTATGTCATATGTGGGTGTATAAGGACTAGATTGTATGTCATATGTGGGTGTATAAGGACTAGATTGTATGTCTTATGTGGGTGTATAAGGGCTAGATTGTATGTCTTATGTGGGTGTATAAGGGCTAGATTGTATGTCATACGTGGATGTATAAGGACTAGATGGTATGTCATATGTGGGTATATAAGGAGTAGATGGTATGTCATATGTGGGTATATAAGGACTAGATTGTATGTCATATATGGGTGTATAAGGACTAGATTGTATGTCATACGTGGATGTATAAGGACTAGATTGTATGTCATATGTGGGTGTATAAGGACTAGAGTGTATGTCATATGTGGGTGTATAAGGGCTAGATTGTATGTCTTATATGGGTATATAATGACTAGATGGTATGTCATACGTGGGTGGATAAGGACTAGATTTTATGTCTTATGTGGGTGTATAAGGACTAGATGGTATGTCATATGTTGGTGTATAAGGACTAGATGGTATGTTTTATGTGGGTGTATAAGGACTAGATGGTATGTCTTATGTGGGTATATAAGGATTATATGGTAAATGCGCAAATAAACAACCACACAGGAAAAAACGCAAAACCAATACACGTAATTCACCTACCTACCAACGCAAACCAAACGCCGTATTTGGAATTATTACGGCTTATTAGTTTGATGTCACATGTTAAGTATGCGATCATTCCATGAAAATTGTAATGTATAATATCAGCACAGACATCAGTAATGTGGTTACTAGTATTACATACCTGTTCTAGCGTTGAAATCATACGAGAACATTTCTTCCACGTGTGCATCCATAACTTTGGGATCGGTTCTAGTCACTGTACTGCTGTTGGTAAACTGCAACTGCATCAAGAAAATAAACACAAAGTTGACCAAATCATTCATTATGATCTGTGACCGAGACCTGGCTTTTAATGAAGTTATTCACGTTCACTCCTTTTAACAGGTTGGCTTGTTAAGGTAACAGGTTGGCTTGGTAAGGTAACAGGTTGGCTTGGTAAGTTAACAGGTTGCCTTGGTAAGGTAACAGGTTGGTAAGGTTACAGACCTGATAGGACTATTTCTGTCTTAGTTCTTTGCTCCCGGAAGGAATAAACGTGTCACAGACTTACTGGAACCTCAAAGACAAGCCGAAGTTTGTGAGAATCGTCTAAATATCTTGTTTGCCCGGACACATTTTACAGGAACATATCACTGTAATTTACTCATTCCCAGATTTCTATACTATTTATATAAAAAAAAAATAGCATTGTCACAGGATANGTAGTAAGACAGTTTTCACCACTGACACTGCTGGGACAGTAGTACATTATGTAGGACAGTATTAACCACTGGCACTGCTGGGACAGTAGTAGGACAGTATTAACCCCTGGCACTGCTGGGACAGTATTAAGACAGTATTCACCACTGGCACTGCTGGGACAGTAGTACATTATGTAGGACTGTATTAACCACTGGCACTGCTAGGACAGTAGTAGGACAGTATTAACCACTGGCACTGCTAGGACAGTAGTAGGACAGTATTCACCCCTGCCACTGCTGGGACAGTAGTAGGACAGTATTCACCACTGACAGTGCTGGGACAGTAGTAAGACAGTATTCACCACTGACCCTGCTGGGACAGTAGCAGGACAGGATTCACCACTGGCACTGCTGGGACAGTAGCAGGACAGTATTCACCACTGGCAG